TAAGCTCAAGAACGTGAAATATTGCTCAGTAATCAACAACATCCTGAAGCTTTTCTAAGAATTTCATGCCAAGTGTAGATGCTAATCCAAATAATCCATAACCAGAGAAAGCGATGATTAAAGCACTACACATATCCTTGCTCATATACCACTAATCAAGGATAGAATTTAGTTTTAATCGATTATTAGAATAATCTGTAAGTCTGCAAAAGATATCTTCATTATATGCAATATCTAACGAGTCTTCTTGATTCAAATTTAGATCTTCTATATATATTTCGCAAGTTCTATGAATTGCAAGATTGCTGTTTGGAGCAGGTCCAGCTTTTAAAATGATGCTGTTTAGTAGAGGAGTTTTGCATCTGCTTCCTACTGCTTCTTTGAGTACAATGTTTATTTCATCTATAGTAAACTCCATCGGATATTCTGCTATTAACCATCTAAAGATTTGAGTAAGATTTTTCATTCACTTTTCTACAAATAGATTTTTTCCACACAGTTCAACATCACTAGCTAATAGTGCTATATTAATATTAGGCATTTCAAACTGGAACACTATATGTAAAGTTGTATGAGCTGTATTCTGTATATTGTTATACAGATTTCTGGCTCTGAATGTTTTTTTCTTTAAAATCGATGTTGTCTATTACAGCCAAGTTCCAAATATTTGAACCTGACTTTAGTTTTTTTTTTGTGTATTTGCTTCTTTCATTCATTGTTTTCTAACTTTCACTTCATAATCTTTAGAATATGCTACTACATTTGCTATACAAAGAACACTATTCAAGTATGTCGTAAGCTTTGGTTGTTTACAGAAAGATTTAATTACTTGTAGAAGCCAAAATTTTCAGCCTTTAAATGCAGTTGTTAAAATTATAGAAGACAAGAATGCTGTGCTTTTCACTATTTTGCTTTCATCAAATTCAGTTATAGTGCTTTTGCATTCTTTTTGTTTTTGTCTAACAATTTTATATTTTTGAAATAGCAAAGTACGAATTAAACTATCAAAAAGGCTTGTTAAGCATTTTGGTATTGCTTCATAATATTGCTGCAAAGAATCAGGACTTTCATCAGCAAATTTTAAAACTACAATATTGCGCAAATATTACGATTAACATGCAATATTGTGAAAGATTTTAAAAAATTGCAAATAGTTGCGAAATTTATTAAGAAATTTGCAAACTTTCGATAGGTAGCCATGTTCAGCACATCATTCCGGTCATAATGGTAGTTAAATCATCAAAATCAGCCTAATATTTGCTGAGATAGCTTAAT